AGGGAGACTAGTCACTGTCATTCCTCAGGTGAGACAGATAGTGACTCAGCTAAAGTTGAGTAGCACAGGAGATGAGAAGTCACTCTTTGGAGATCCAACAGGGTTCTTTCTGCAGAAGTGTCATGTCGTGACATGTCACCAGGTCTCGAAAACCAAGGCCTGTGAAAGGTGGTGGTGATTTGGGTGCTTGTGTGATGTAGTGAGGGCAGGTTTTAATGGAAATAACTGTGGGCTCTAGTTTTTAATGCACATGTAATTCAGCAGAGGAGAAACACATGGGCAGAAATAATAAACTTCAACCAGTTTTCAGTCCTGTTCTAAGAGGAGCCAAGCTGGAGCTGTGATCTCAGAGTATGGTCCCTGGAACATCAGTCTCAGCATCCCTGGGAACCCCTTAGAAATGTGCATCGTTGGATCCACCCCAGATGTACTGAGCCAGAAGCTCTGGGGGTGGAGCCCAGCTGTCAGTGTTTTACAAGCCTTCCTGGTGATTGTAATGCTTGTGGAAGGTTAGAACCCCTGAGTTAGAGAGTCCTTCATGGAGGGCTGGAAACCAGGAACACAGGCTGCTGAGGGAGTCTCTTTGATATCATTTCCGGGTTTCAAAGGTGTGGTAAGATGATCTTGTCCCAATGCAGAGTGGTCACAGCTCAGTCTATCAGGTCAGAGCCTCCCACCTGATACTCACCCCTGCCTGCCTGGGTCCCCCAACTGACAGTATGTGTTCCATGCCTCCCTACCTGTATCTCTCCACTTTCTCACTCCTGTGTCTGTGTCTACAGAAGAGTTTGTGGTGATTGGCCCCTCGGACCCCATTGTGGCAGTGCTGGGTGGGAACGTCACGCTGCCCTGTCATGTGTCCCCAGTCATGGATGTGGAAAACATGGAGCTGCGGTGGTTCCGCTCCAGGTTCTCAGAAGCAGTGTTCATCTATGAAAACCAGCAGGAACAGAAAGAAGAGCAGCTGGCTCAGTACACAGGGCGGACCTCGCTGGTGAAGGACTTCCTCAGCCAGGGGGAGG